GCTGCCTCCCGCCGTTGCCACCGGGCACCTGCCCGCGGCGCCGCCCCCCCAGTCAGCCCCTGCCCCGGGGCCGACGCACCACCGGCTTTCACGGCCGGGGCCAACTGACACTGAAACCAGAAGTGTCCAACTTGCTTGTGGGTCGTCACAACTAAGCCGCAGAGGGCTCGCGGCTTTAGGGGGCCCCACAATTTTGCAACAATATTTTTTTGTGAGGGCCGGGGGGGAAGTTATGAAAAACTTTGTTCTTTCTTCAGCGTATGAGCAAGTTTCGTGGATGGGGCGAAGTGACATTGAACTCAGAAGTGTCCAACTTGCGTGGAGGTCATCAAAACTGAGCCTCTGAGGGGCCACCAATGACTCACTTGCTTTAGGGGGGCCCTCAGTTATGCAACAATATTTTTGAGGGGTGACGTTATTAAAAACTTTGTTCTTTCTTCAATGTATGAACGAGTTTTGTGGATGGGGTGAAGTGAAATTGAAATCAAAAGTGTCCAACTTGCTCGCAGGTCATCAAAATTAAGCCGCAAAGGGCCCCACAATGACTCTTGCTCTAGGGGGCCCCACAATTTTGCAAAAAATGTCCAACTTGCTTACAGGTCATCAAAATTAAGCCTCTCGGGGGCCCCAATGACTTGCTTGCTTTAAGGGGCCCCAACAACTCTAAGGCCACCACTGCCCTCAGCGTACACCAGCTCAAGTCCGTGTGACACAGCTGAGGGCCTCCTCCCCCATGCCAGACCCACCACCTCATTCCTGGGTAGGGTTCCCAACCCTCCAGGATTGCTCTGGAGTCTGCAGGAATTAGATATAAGTCTCCAGAAGACTGCTAAGAGTCACCTGGGAGATAAATGATAGGGCATTCATGAAAATAAATATTAAATGTTGAATCTGATTTATACACTAGACCAGTGGGTTTTTAAAATGTAATAGTCATGTGCATTTGCTTTCCTGATGTAAAGTCTATGCACCATAACCTGTAATGGATATATGCAAGCACGTGGGTAGGCTGGCATTGTGTCGCAAGCACGTTGGCATTCCAGAAACCTGGAATAGATTCAGAGTTGGCAACCCTATTCCTGGCCCTTGCCATACAACAGGGCCCTTAAACCCCTCCATGCCTTGGCTCCGCACGTCTGGGGTAGGAAAGGGGCTTCCTCATCTTCCCTGGTGTAGAGAAATGTGTGTATGTTCCCTATGCCGCGGCCCTGCCCCTGGATCCAGCCCTGTTGAATCCTCTGGAAGTCAATGCGGGGTGGTTGTAGGACCAGAGCCTTCCACTGCATGTGGTCTGGAGCAGGGGCGGTGGGTTTGTGCAGTCTCCACTGCAGTGGGTCCCAGTCTGGATAGGGTTTGCTGGGTGTGGCTGAATAATGGTCATGCGAAGGGGCCACACTGGAGAGGGAGGGACCTTGTAATCCAGCGAGGCAGGAATGGGGAGATGCAAATGAGAAGAGGGAAGAGGAGGAATAAGGGTATGTAGTGAAAAGAAAGGGGCTGAGAGGGTGAATTGAGAAATGAGGGAAGAAGAAGGGAAGCAGACTGCGAGAGCACTACAGTTCCCTGGTACTTTCTCCTACATAGCAAGAGGGGTGGGGAAATGTGGAAGATTCCCAACCTTGTTCCCTTCTCTCCAGTTCAACACTGCAGGAAATTAGGAGAAAAAGAGAGCAGGGAGAAGAACCCTTGCCTGACCTGTCAGTCCATTTTGCCTGACCAGACACAGCTTACCCTGGCTGACTTTCCTTCACCTTCTAATTCTCCTCATTGCTTCCTAACATTTTGTTTTGACATCTTTTTCTTTTAAAGCTCCTAACCATATATCATCTATACCATTATGTAACCCAGGGAGGGAGGGTTGTGGGGAGCAGTACACTAACCTGGGCCTTGGGTGCCAATATAGTGGGGCTGCTAGAATAATGCCCCTCTCTGGAGTCTGCAGCCCAGCAGCAGCAGCTTTCCTGCACAGTTGATGCTGCACTAGCAGCAGGGTGCATGGACCTACACTGGTGCTGTAGCAGCAGGGTACATGGACCTACACTAGTGCTGTAGCAGCAGGGTGCATGGACCTACACTGGTGCTGTAGCAGATCATGCAGTGACAGTAGCAGCTGGGGACTTTTTTGAACCCCCAGAGCAGGTAAAACTCACCCCTCACACACACATGCACTATTCTCAGCACCCCCTCCCCTCCAACACTCAGTAGCACCTTGCCTCCCCCTGCTCTCCAGTGAGGTTTATCTAGGGTGCAAACTCTTTCACTTATGCCTCTGGATCTAAACACTTTTTAAACACATAGTGAGAAGGGAAAAGTAGCCAGGTACAAGTGTATCAGCCTCTTTCCACTATTTCCTTCTCCCACATTGCAATCTCGGAGTGCGTTGAGGCACCTTTTGATTGATACCTAAACTCTGGAGAAGACCTCTGAGGCTCCCATTCCACTAACAGGATATAGCAAACCAGAGAACATTTGGTTTTCTCACCTCTTACAAGTGTCTCCTGAGGCTAGTGGCACTAAAGACCACTTTGTACTGTTATAACATCAATTGTATTTTATTGGACCAACAAAATCCAATATACACCATCCTGTATCTACAGATCTTATAGGACCCAAACCTGATCCTACTGAAAAGCAGCCAGAAATAAGCCCAGGGCACTTTTGTAAAACTGCTGGTAGAAGTTAAGTATCATGAAAAGTTGGCTGAACTTAAAGCTTTATTGATAAATACATCTCCTCTGCAGGTGAGTATTCAAAAAACGTGTGATGGTGGTTGGGCTGATGATAGGCTGCCTGTCACGTAGAACAACATTGTCCTGTTGTTCCCTGGTGGTCTTCTGTCCCTGTATCTTGTCATTTATGGTGATTGTAAACTCTAGGTCTGGCACTCTCGCACTATGCTGGAATTGTGCTACACTTTTGACCTTTGAATTCCTGTGTATACGATTAATTCCTAGGAACTGTGGTAGTACAAAAAACTAATAAATTTGTTATTTATTAGTTAAAAAGCTGGCTCGCTTTCAGCTCTCAGTGAAAATAATATAAATCTGGAGTAACTCCATTGGAATCAGATGACTGCAGATTTTGGTTCAGTGATTAGTAAATACATGTATTTCATTGTTAGACAGCCTTTCTATACTTCAGTTCCTCATAACATTCATGGGAAAGCAGGAAAGTTCTGACTAAAACAGAAACAGATTTTTAAAATTTATTTTTCTCTGGAAAATAAAAATCTGTCAGAAATGAGAATTTTTTTCCTCTTTCCAGAATAAACTTGAAAAACAGTCTTAAATCTTTTTCAATGTTCTTCAGAACCTGTTTCTTGGAGAGCAATACAGCGTTTCAAAACTTTCAGGAAAAGCTTAATAAGGGAAGCCACAAAGGCCAAGAGATCAGCAAGCCACATACAATTTTTTTAACACATAATTTCCTAGAGTTACATTCTTTTATTCTATTTTGTGCTTTTATAAGCTGGCTCTATAGACTTTAGTATACAAATAAGAATTAGTTGTCTGATCCAACTTCTATTGAAGTCAAGGACCCTTCTCTATTGCCTTTAGTTAGTATATTTGGTGCAATAACTCTTTGGGGGATATGAGAATGTGCTATGAAATTTTTAAAGAAAACCCATGAATTTTTGCAGAAGGAACATTTTAAAACATTACCTTTGTAACATTTTCTCCCATTTTCTTTACATTACATAAGACCATAACAGGCCTCCTAGGAAATCAAGTCTGTTCCCCTACTAAGGGTCATGTCTACATGAGACGCTATTGCACAGCAGTTACTGCACATTTACTTAGTACTTGTATAAACAAGTACTAAATAAATGTGCAATAACCAGAGTTACTGCTTAGTAGCACTTGTTTGTTGCGAATGCCTTGTTTGTTATGCTACTATTCTATATCCCAATACTACTACACAGTAGCATTGCATCACGGTTTTTGCCATGCAATGCTACTGTGCAGTAGTACCAGGCTACAGTGGCAAAGAAGTAGTGGCTAATGCATGCTCAGAGGACCCTGGAAAGGACCATGCCCCTGCTATGGAGAAAGAAACCTCTTTTCCTCCTCTCCACCCCACAATTTTTTTGGGTTCCTCTCTCTAAAGAATCACAATCTCCGGGTCTCACCTTACATTTCCACTCCCCGGGAGCCCAGACAGCCAGGCTATCTCCCCAAAGCCTGTTTCTCCTACTCAGAATTATCCTGCCACCTCTTCACATCACCTCTCAATCTTTGCTCAACACATATGACCATATGGCCCTGCCTTCCAGTGCCTTTAGTTTGTAAACACTGGTCTGTATCATTAAGATATATCAACTCCAATACTTATAAATGAGATACCTTATACATATTAGTACTGGATGACTTTCAAAGCTGACTGGTAAGAAAAGAGAGGCAGAGGGTGGAGAGGTGAGTATATGTGCAACTGGAGCATCTGAGGCATGGTGAGATGAGGTTCGTGGGAGAAAACTGTAGCTCCGCAGGCCTCAGGAGAAGAAACTGCATTGTTAGTAGGGACATGACTGACCTTGGGGCACTACCAGGAACAATGCAGATCACCACTGATAGCCATCTATGTAAATACATTGAGACTGGCTTGTTACAAAAGACAGGAAAATCCCTCACAAAGGACTTGCTAGACAAAATACTCCGTTAATGCAAACTGTGAAAAGCTAGGAAATAAGTGACACTGTCTTCCGTTACTTGCAGTCCCCATCTTCTCATTCAACCAATGAGTGTCACCTGAACTCGGACAAGGTATGATAATACAACATGCATATGCAGATTTCTGCTGTGTCATTTGTACATAAAAAAGCACTACTAATGGCTTTGGAAAAATCACTAAGAATGTGGATAACACATTCACA